TTGGCCTGTAAGCCGCCGCTTTACGCTCTCTTCCCGTACCGAGTCGGTTACAATATGCATCGCGAACAAGGCTGTGTCAGAAGTGATGGGTTGAAAGGTGGGTGAAGTGCAGTAGGAAGCGTTACAGTTAATTAGGCAACAAAGGACAATAACTGGAGACGTCGAAAGATGATGGGATTCTCTCGGCTCTGATAGGCGGATGACATGGACAATCACGGGTTGAAAGAGAGGCTCTTTGTAAGTGGCAGTGTTCAAAGAAGCGATGTAGGCTATTATTCGCTGATGATTGCAGATATCGGCCGAAACCGACGGTTCGCCCTGAAGGAAAAGGCTGAAATCGTTCGTCAAGGACCTACCCTAAAAGCAGCGAGGTGGGGGCCATTTCCCAACATACAACAGTCAGAACTAGAGCAACAGGTGCATGCCCAGAAGAGCACGAGGAAGTGAATTACTTGGTTTTATAAGCCTCACGTTGACAGAATTGGCTGATCTAGTCCGTTTTGTTCGGTTTTGAGGCCGTTGGTTCACCTTCTGTAGCGGGATCGTCTGACGTTGTATTGCAGATAACTAAGACAAATCAAAGACGACTTGATCTCTGCCACGTCAGCAGGCAAGATGCCTCACGGGAGCCTGGGCGAGACGAGGGAGACAAGATGAGGCTCAACGGGGAGAAGAGGCAGACAGGGAGGCTGATTCGGAATTGTATGGTACGCCTGGACTGAAGTGTATCCGGAGGTGGGATAGCCCCGGAGTGATTCAATTCAGACTCATACATATGCCGAAGGATCATCATGACCCAATCCATTTCTTGGTCTTTGGACATTCGGGAGTCAAACACCTTCTAAAAAGAGTATCTCGATTTAATACCTCGATTTACTTTGATGTAGGCAATTCAGTCAGTGCGCAACTAGGTTTTGGTGTAAATGCCTGATGCTGCTTTGACAGGTTTGACAGCCTCCACTTGGTTCAGCAACGGCCTTGATTTGAGACCCTTCACGAGTCAGTCTAGGGGAGGAAAGAAAACACAGGACCCTTGATCCTAAATGACAAAAAGACTTAGGTAATATAGTCTAAGATTAGGATAGCCTTTGATGAATTTATTTTGACACTATATATCAATGTTTGCTGTTTTCTTGCTCCCCGAGGGTCAGTCTACAACCGTTTTGCTTCACTTATTGCTGCAAGGTACCCAGTGATCGTCATTTTTTGGTAATCAACCAACCCAACGCTTTCCCCTTTTCTTTTCTCGGTATTGTCCCAGTGCCGATTCCATGTTTTGAACAAACTCTAAAAAACTGCCCAACTCCATCGCGGAGCCGGACATCTCGGGGTTTCTCACGGAACCGCACACAGTTGAAGAGCACAGAGAACTCATCGAGAGTCGTAAGACGTGGGACTGCAACGTTGGGGGCGCAGTAGCTTACGGTACGGCGCTAGATATGGAATGTGAAAAGCCGTTGGAAGACAACTAACCTGTGGATGGTGAGAGTTCCATTCGTTTCTACCCAAGTAAGTAACTAAAAAGAGTCCTGGCCTGAAGCTTGTTCCTTCGTCCATGTGGATTCTGGAATGGGAGAGAGGGCCCTGCCTGAAACTGTCACTGTCAACGGTGCAACCAAGCCCAATGTGGTGAAGAAAGGGTTCGCCGTCGGCAGTTGGCGGGGATATACTCAATACGGGCATGGATGGGGAAAAGAAAAAAGTAAGGCGAAAATGACAGACCGATGATGTAATCGACAAAAAAAACCGAGCCAAGGACCCTGACCCGCGGGAGTAGCTGAAACTGATGATGATTTGGGTGGTGATGTCGAGAAGCAATTATCACGAGAGACAGAGACTCTTTTTATAAACAACAAAAACAGAGAGGGAAAGAGCACAGCATGGTCATCACATAGACTCTAATTACTTCCCCAATGATCTTCTATAGACCCTCAATTGATCACTCTCATCATAGCAAGACCCCTGCTTTTTCTACAGCCAAGCTCCTCTCCTGATCCGCTTCTTTTTTTGTCAACCCCGCCAAAATGCTACCTCCTAAACCCTCCCGCTAAAATTGTTAGCACATACACCTGGTGCTCTTATCACATCATGGCCTTGCCATGGCCTCCTCGGCTCTACCTCCGCCTAATACGGTCCTGATGTGCACATCGAGATCCTCCCTTTCTTCCCTTCTTCATCAAAACATCGACTCCCCCGCCCATGAGCGTCATCACGACGTCGCACAACACGCACACAATCCACGAATACATGTCTCGACCTCAAGTCCTCAATTTCTTTCCCATCTGGTCCTATTCGACTTCTCTTTGATCCGGCCGGCCATATACTCCCGTTTTAACGGATCATGGCCACAACTCCTCCCTCCGCCGCGGCTACATCCCTCCGAGATTCGAACCAGCCGACTCCTACTTCTCCTGTCGCTCCTACGCCGACTGCGGCTGTTCCTGTTCTCTTGACGTCTGCTTCCGAATCTAGCGATGATGGAATTCGTTTGAGTCCGGCCGCTGCTCGCCGCTTCGCTCGCCGCAACCTTCGCCGCACATCTCCAACTCCCGACCTCGTCACTAGTCTCGTTCGGCCGCCCTCGCCAGATACTTTTTATGTTGGAGCGCAGGTCTCGCAGCAAGTCAGACAAGACGTCAGGGCCAGAATTGATCCCTCATACTCGGGTCTTTTGATACCAAATGTTAACTCGGATCGTCGAACCGGACCCCTCCTGGCTCCACATCCATCTTCCCTCGGAATACCCAAACGATATGGCGGCAACTGCATCTTCGATATGTATTCTTTGACGTATGTCGATGAACCGGATGCCAACTTACTCTGTCCTATCTGTCATGATCCGCTGGTGGATCCGGTTACAACTCCCTGCGACCACACATTCTGCTACCGATGCTTGCGACAAAGCATTGATTCTAGTCCTTCCGGAACGGCCTGTCCCATTGACCGAGAGCCTCTCGCCTGGCCCAACTGCTTCAGCGCACCACGGCTCATTCGCACTCAGCTTAATAGTCTCAAAGTCAAGTGTCCTTACCATGCACGAGGCTGCAAATCGGAAGTTCGTCGGGAGGTTGTCGAAACCCATGCTACAACGGAATGCCGGTTCAAGGACTTTACCTGCCCCGGCGCTGATTGTGACAAGAGATTGCGTTCTAAACCCGAAGATGATACTTGCCCCCACAAGGAGGATACTTGTTTACACTGCAAAGTGACAATCGAGGCTACTGATCGGGAACTACATTTGTTATCATGCCCGAACAGCAAAACTCGCTGTGAGACATGCTGGAAGCTCGTATATCGCAGCCAGACCAAGGAGCACGATGAATTAGAATGCGAAGGTGCTGTTATCAACTGTCCCTATAGCGAGTTTGGTTGTCCAGCTCGTGCGATGCGCGGACAAATGGACGCTCATACTCTAGCATGCGCATTCCACCCAGACACACCATCAGGCATGATAATTCGCTCACAGCGAGAAATCATCGACTCCTACACCAACCTCGGCCAACAGGTACAGCAACTCCAGACTCGCCAGGACGAGACAAATCAACGCATCACGGAATTCAACTCATCTCTCAGTCGCCGGGGTGTGGGCGACTCGGTAATGGGAGACAACCGCACAATTCAAGACCTCGACGCTGGTTTCGAAGAAGTTCACCAGAACCTAACACACCTCGAGGCACGGCAGAGTATGTGGACTATCAACCAAATCATGCCTATCCGTGAGGAGGTAACTGAACTACGAAACAATATTAACATGATTCGAATGCATGTTAACTGGCTCCTGAACCGAAGCCGCGAAGAAGGCCGCATAAGAGCGGCCGCGAGCTCTGGATCCACGGCGACTTTGCAGAGGGACAGGTCGGTAGAAGGCCCTCGTCTCGCGGAACGTCGTCGGTCAGCAAGTGTCGAAGGAGCAGATTTGCCCCGTCTGTGATCAGTTTTTGCTTTTCTTCTTCTACTCTTCTTCTTTTTTATCTTTTATTGGCGTAACGGTTTATGGAATACCCTGGCATTTACACGTAGGCTTAGTCGGAAAAGGGTTATGATTCATTGAGCATTCGCGGTAGTCTTTTTTATAGATTTATTTTAATCAGACGACTCAGGTTTGATATTCATGTGTGTTTTCTGTGTATGGATGCTTCTTGTGACACATTTCCTATTTCAGACATGACACTGCGTCACTTAAAGATCTTGAAGGCCTGACGTCAGGGGTCTAGAACTTAATGATTTTTCTCATACTTTAACATCCATGAAAAAAGGGTTAACGTTAAGGTAAGGAAGAGGCAGCCTGAACATTAGATGAAAGTTTGACAAAGCAAAATGCAATTTTCACGCAGACTGCCAAAGTTTCATCTTTCAATAACCAAAGTATAGTACGTCATGATTGGTCTTGAAACTCCTCCTTTAAAGTATCAGATCCAATCTTAGATCTTAATCATGATACAGGGAATGGAGATGCTGCATCCTCCAGTCTGTATCACCTCAGCTTAGACATAAACCATCAGTGCTCGGAAACCGTGAGCCACTTTATATTGCGGAGTTTAGAAGAGTGCTGCGGAGTTTGGGAGATGATTTGGCAGGCCAACATAAATCTTACGGCTTCAATGGTAGATTCTCTATTCAACTGATCCATACCTAACATCTATCATTAACAGTATTACCAATACCTCAGTGACTGTTTCTTCCAGGTCCTTCTACACGAGTAGGCAACCAAAGTTTCAGCGCCACAGCTCAGAAGCAGCCACCAAAGCCTCACCGCCCCACCTCGAACCTCTCAGTCCCTAGGCCCAGCTCTGCCTGGAATTCCCCCACCCTCAGGTCCCCGAGCTCATCATTATCAACTGTACTACGTCTTTGTGAGGCTTGGGTCCACACCTCATAGATCTCGTCCATCTCACTCTCAGCCTCGCCATCCCATCTGAACCTCTTTCTTTCAACATAATTCTCGTCTTATTTCACTTCCTCCCTCTTTCTCATCCGCACTTCCACTCGTTATTGCCATCATGGACCCCAACGAGCAACCCTCATGGGCTGGAGGCGATGCCCCAGACAAGGAGAAGATGGAACAGGCAAGTTGCGCCAACAGAGCTCATGATGGCGACTTTATGCTAAGCTAGGTCCTCCAGATCCGCGCGAGACGTCTCGCCAAGCTAGGGACATCAACTCCTGTGTCTGCCAAGTCAGACGAGAACAAGGCTCCCGATTCCGAATCGTCGAACCCCTCGCGCACGTCAACGCCGAAGCCGCAGCCGCAGCCCGCATCCGCTGAATCACGGCCCAAGATCAACGTCACTCCCGCCGCTCCGCCGGCTTCTTCCAGCCCGAACCCCTTCGACAAGCTAGGGGTCAAGGCGGAGCCGTCGAGTTCAACAGGTACTTCCTCTGTGAATCGTAAAAGACTGGCATCTGAGATTGACGTCGCTCCAGCGGATCGACCCTCCCCCAAGCCATCCACTACTCAACCCGAGTCCGACGAAACCTATGCCGACCGAACGTTGTCACAGATCTTCCGCATCACTGTTGATCCGCATAACATGGTCAACACCAGTGGTCAACGGCTGACGTTCCTCCCGAATCTGAACGAAGAACTGAACGAGTCTGGAGAGCCTCTGAAGCTGTCCGTCAACACGCTAGATCAAGCTCTTATGGAGGCGGCCAGCAGCTATCCCCATGATAAGCCTCTCATGAACTACTTCTTGCCATGCTGGAAGCGTGCTGTGAAAGCGTCGCTGCAGTTCAAGGGAACAGAGGGACCCAAGTTGGAGGTGCATGAAGAGGCAAAGCGTTTGTGTATGAGCGGCTGCTTGTTTGCCCTGACCATGCCGGATCTCTATGGGTAAGCAATTTCACCGCGTCGGAAATATAATCCTGACGCCTCATGTAGCCGATCGCCGAACCCTAAGCATGATACACTCATGCCATACCTGTTGAAGGGCATACAGGACGAGAACGGCCTTTGCTTCAACTTTATACAGGAAGCTATCAAGCGATTCGATGATGACGAGGCTTTCCCTGCTCTGTTCAACGATGCCATGATTCAGATCAGCAACAAGCTGGGTACAATTTCAATGGACCAGGATTACAAGCCGTATATCCAGGCCATGTTGACGTACACCAGATTCCCTCCTCTAATCGTGAACCTCGCCAAGCACCCAACCTTCATCATGGCTCAGTCAGCTGCTGGAATCGAAAAGCACACCCTTCTGGGTCCGTTCTTCCGCATCTCACCACTCCAGAATGAAGTCATCAAGAGCTATTTCCCTGGGGCTCGTGGTCTTGACAAGGGGAGAATCGCAAACTCACAAGACGCTTTGCGAATGGTGCTGAGGACACACCAAGATGATCTTTTCGCCATCACAAACGCCTTTATCCGCGCAGGCCAGGAGACCAGATCTCGAACTCTGGACTGGTTCGCTTACATCATGAACTCAAACCACAAGAGGAGAGCACTACAAGTTGACCCTAGAGAGGTTGCTTCCAACGGCTTTATGATTAACGTGACCACGATTCTAGACCGATTTTGCGAACCCTTCATGGATATGGATTTCAGCAAAGTAAACAAGATTGATGACAACTACTTCAGGAAGCAACCGCGGATAGATATCAGCGATGAGACAAAGCTGAACGCAGACGATGCATATGCGAAATCATTCTATGCGGACAAGATACCAGGCGATACCAACTTCATCTCGGAGGCTTTCTTCTTGACCCTGGCAGCGCATCACTATGGAAGTGAGGCCTGCAACTCCCAATTGAAGAATTTGGATAGGGATATAAAGTATTTGGAGAAGCGAGTCAAGATCATGGAGGCAGATCGTATCAAGTTTGTGAACAATCCTGCCCAACTTCAACAATATGACAAGGCTGTTCAGAGACATGTCGACGCTCTCGAAAAGAGCATTGCTGTCAAGCTTTCCATTGAAGGTGTCCTACTTGATGAACGGATGCAGAGCACTTCATTGCGTTTCATGCGCATTGTGGCTGTGTGGTTGCTTCGCTTGGTGACTCGATCAGAGTACAAGCCTGGCCAAGAGTCGAAGGAGATACAGTATGTGCCCTGGAGCGCAATGTGGATGATGATACTGACAACTGTAGACTCCCTCTTCCTGCGGAGAAGTCAGATGTATTCTCATGTCTTCCAGAGTATACGCTACAGAATATCGTGGACAATTTTAAGTTCATATTTAGGTCCGTCCACCATGATGATATTTGACAGAGGCCTCAGCTAATAAGTTAACAGGTGGCTACCTAAGATTCTCCCCAGCGCTGTTGGCGATGAAATGATTGCGCTTTGCGTAACATTCCTCCGCTCAACTGAGTACATCAAGAACCCGTACCTGAAGTCATCGTTGGTCTCACTACTCTTCTCGGCGACTTGGCCATTGATGCACCTAAAGCGCGGTGTTCTAGGTGACCAGCTTGTTGGCAGCCAGTTTGCCAACGATCACCTTCTTAAGGGATTGATGAAGTTTTACATCGAGTGCGAGTCAACGGGCGCGGATTCTGCTTTCTACGACAAGTTTAACATCAGATATGAGATCTTCCAAGTGATCAAATGTGTTTGGGTCAACGACCACTACAAGCGACAATTGACACGGGAGAGTCGGTTAGTAACCCCAAAGTTATTGTTTGAGATGGCACTAACACCTCCACAGAGTCAACAAGCAGTTCTTTGTTCAGTTTGTCAATATGTTGTTGAACGATGCTACTTATGTCTTGGACGAAGCTTTAACCAAGTTTCCCAAGATCCGTGCTATCGAGAAAGAACTTGAAGATCCGTCAATACCACAAGAGGATCGTCAGAAGAAGGAGGAGGAGATGCAACAGCTGGCTAACCAGGCCACGTCTTTTATGCAGTTGGCCAACGAGACGCTTGAGATGATGAAGCTCTTCACAGAGGCTATGAGTGAGGCCTTCACCATGCCCGAGATTGTGTCTCGTCTGGCAAGCATGCTCAACTACAACCTGGAGACGTTAGCTGGAAAGAAGGCGGCTGCGGAGCTCAGCGTTTCTAACAGAGACAAGTACCACTTCCGCCCTATCCAGATCATCTCAGATATTGTCGACATCTATCTCAATCTCGGCAACTCGCCAGTTTTCATCGACGCCGTTGCTGCAGATGGTCGTTCTTACAAGCCCGAAGTGCTGGAGCGCGTTTCACGCATTCTTATCTCCAAGCACCAGAAGGATCCCGCCGATGTTGCTCGCTGGGACAAGCTCAGGGTGAAGTTTGTCGACGCCAAGACGCTCCTCGACCAAGCGGAACTCGACCTGGGTGACATCCCTACCGAGTTTGAGGACCCCATCATGGGTGATCTCATGAAGGATCCTGTCTTGCTACCCAGCAAGCATATCGTTGACCGATCAACCATTGTCCAGCATCTCCTAAGCGATCCCAAGGATCCTTTCACGAGACAAGCCATGACTATCGATGATGCGATTCCACAAACGGAACTCAAGGAGAGGATCGAGCAGTGGCGAGAGGAGCGGGTGCAAGCTGCCAAGGACAAGTTGAAGAGCGATGCCATGGATACCACAGAGGGTTAAGATCATGCGAGAGAATGGTTTGAAAAGGGAAATTATCTGATTAGACTTGTTCAGTTGTCTGTCGAAGATGGAAGACGGTGCATGTGTACTTCACTTCGCTCATGGTGTGAGCATGAAGAATGGCCTGCTTAAAAGGGACAGTTTACATGAGACGGCAAACAGCGGTTCAGGAACTGCAGCGCATTTTTAGATGATAAATATCTTGTTCGTCAGAAATACAGCGAGTTGCACTTCCACTTAACCGTCCTATCTACATACACATCAGGGTATTTCTGCCATATCCCTTCCCCTATCCCCAACGCCTTTCTTGACTTTTGAATCACAGCTCACGCCTTCAAATCCTTGTACTCCTCAAATACTTGCTCCAGCTCTTTGAGGATCTCCTGCTTGCGCTCATCAGAGCACCAGCTTTCCTCCACAGCACCGCGGACGATCCATGCCCAGTCCTTGACGGAGAGGCTGAAGGTATCCTGGACACGGCAGTAGACTTCCTGGACGTAGGCACCAAAGTAAGCAGGATCATCGCTGTTGACGCTGAAGAGGACACCCGCATCGAGGAACTTGCGCACAGGGGCGTCAGCGAGTTCAGGCAAGTTGCAGAGAGCCACGTTTGACCAAGGGCAGAAAGTCAAGAGGGTGCGGTTGGCAGCCAGTCTCTTGAGGAGTTCGGGGTCCTGAGCAGCTGCGAGGCCGTGGTCGATGCGCGAGACTTTCAGGTGCTCGAGTGAGGCAGTGATAAAAGAAGGGGGTGCTTCCTCACCAGCGTGAGTGGTGAGATGAGTACCAGTCTTTGCAACACGGGCATAGACCTCAGTGAAGAGCTCAGGAGGGAACGCCTTCTCGCTCGAGACCATGCCGAAGCCCGTCAGGGTACCATCGTTGAAGTGGCCGCGGTCAAGAAGAGTATCGACCAGAGCATGAGACTCGGGAACAGGCAGATGGCGAAGAATACAGACAATCAGCTCGACAGTAATGCCCAACTCCTTCTGAGCACGACGCTTGGCGGCTGTAAGTCCTGCGACGACAGTGTCGTAGCTGACACCTCGAGCAATGTGCGCCTGAGGATCGAAGAAGATCTCAGCGTGTCGGACCTTTTCGCTCGCCGCGCGCTGGAAATACTGGTACGCAAGAGTCTCAAAGTCATTTTCGGTGATAAGCACGCTCATCCCGAGGTAGTAGTAGTGCAGGAAATCATCGAGGCATGTGAATCTCCCATATCGCTCTCGCAACTTGTCAGCCGACTCGTAAACAGGATCCTCTGGCAATTTGATCCCGTTCTTCTCGGCGAGGGAGAAGAGAAGCTCAGGCTCAAGAGTTCCCTCAATATGGAGATGCTGCTCAACCTTTGGCAAGGCCTTGAGGAAGCTGTGGAACTGAGATTTGCACATATTGAATTGATTGATCTTGGCCGATCAAGTTTATTTCGTCTCGTTGAGATCTTGCTTGGGATTATCACTGCAGTCTTTTTTTTTACTTCTTTTTTTTCTTCACCTTCAGCAAAGAGACAGGCAATTAGACTGGGGAGAATTCGAATTATTTGCACCGATTGATCAAGTTTTGACAATGGAACTCGATAGGCCCAGGCCCAGATTGATAGCATCTCGTCCAATGAAAGCACGTAGAGTTGCGGGAGCTCCCGGCCCCGTTAAAGCCATTCATTGTTTGTGGTTTCATTCATTGTGATCTCGGAAAGTATATCAAGCATAAGGTAAATAGATAGATATATTAACTGTATGTGCGGATTCTGTGTATGTAGACGGAGTAGGTAGTATCGCTTCGCTGAAATGGTCGTTATAGTATCTTGATTGATCTGGACGTGTTGAGACAGGTATCTTGCTTGGCAAGCTTGGTAAGCGACTTGTCATAGTCGCATAGGTCGCCCTGGGATCCGTGGGCTGAAATGAGTGCCGGAGTCTCTTGCCATTGTCAATTGAAATTCCTTTCAAAGTCCACTGATCATCGCCTCAAGTGCTGACCTCGGGTACTAGTCCCGGCCTAGTGGTCAATTAGCATCCTACTGTATGTCTTGTGCCTACCTAACATTAGTCGTTTGTTGGGTTGGGCCATGGCACATGCACAAAGAACTCCACGGCCAGAGTCTGCACAAGTCTCTCCACCCTTGAGAGGCTTCTTCTCATTTCCTCCTCAGATGCCAGTCTCTTGAGTATCTTGAGTCTTGACCGTCACTTGACATCAACAGCGGCTTATCGTGCCACCCCTGAACCATCCATTTCCAGGAATACGGACGCACTCCCGTTCCGACACCCGCGCCAAAAGCAAATGAACCTTGTCCAGTTCTCCTCAGAGCACAGTACACTACAACCTCAGCAACAGACAGGCTGGGATGGGCCGATGGGATATCGTTGGCTTGAGGGCCCCAAATCCACATCTCAGCACTCTCAAACGCCAAGCAAACTTTGAGAGACAATTCTCTCATATTGATTACCTACTCCAGGTTTTTCCTGCCTCGCTCTGGGTTCCGTGTTAGGTATCGCCAGAATCTGCGCAGGCTTCTGTGCCAGCTTGGTATTAGCGATGATGTGTAGTATTCTTCCGTCTCAATGCCAAGGCGTTTTGTCTTCTCCCGAGCATGGGCTCAAAGGATGTGGGTGTCAGGAGAATCGATTAACAGCAACTTACTGGCTAGAATTGCCGGCTTATCGTTCCCTACTGTAGGAGCCGTATGCGTGCACGCCGAGAAGGGAGGATGGCCCTCTGATCTTGACTCGCCTCAGCTTTCAGCTAGGTTGCTACCCTCGTCAGGACATGTAGCATCTTATCCGCCAAATAGTGTAACGGTGCGAATCGGAACAGTTCCAATGATCACAATCGGATGTGCATGAGGATTCACAACATCTGTAGGGTGTCATGCGCTATCGACAGCTTCTGTCCCTTCCCAGCAGGCAATAGAGCATTGTGGTTAATAGAACACTTCACATTGGATTTTCGGTTTTTCGGAAAGATCGATTCCTAACAACAGAGGTGGAAAAGTCCGGTTCCCCGACATCTCAGGGACACTACTGCCCTGCACATGGCTGAGTTTCAGAATGCGGGGGGTTGGTTGGATCTGTGCCGCCATGATGAGATGTAGGTCCGGAATGTCATCCAACTCGGCCTTTGCTATCGAGAATGGACGGCCCAGTCGTGTTTCTGATCTGAAGAGGTTATAAGTCTCCGAATGATTTCCCTCCAATAGAATCCACACAATCTCGAACGCCTCTTGGATACATTATCTGTCACAGAGTCGTGTATCTGATATTACTAAGAGTTAGAATTGATAACTCTTGCTCGGCGAAAGCAATATGACAAGAAATCGGCCAAAGCTGTCTGATACCATAAACCTGCTTGAGGACTAGTTGCAATGTCGGTGGCGCCATTCCGTTCGGTAGCTTATATAACTGGCAGATGGCATCGGAACGCAGGTGTCCCGTTAACTAGTTATACTAGTGTGCATTATTATCTTGCCTGTCTGACAGACGCTTCGTCGATTGAGAACACAGACCAACACAGTTGAGGGACCAGTCGCAAGTCCCAAGACAACTTCAACTCGGTCCAGGAGACGAAGAAAGGCGTTTCGGGCCGTGTACAACGCTATAGATCTGCTTGTCCGGCACGTTCATTTGTCCTTGGCATAACTCAACCGATGGAGCTCTAATCCATCACGATGGAGCTGGCAGGCTGGTCCTAGAACTAGGCCATGTGGAACAGGGTACGTAAGCTCCAGGAGTCATGAGGGACGAGGATGTTGAATTGAGAATAAGCGTGCTTGGTCTGTTCGGAGCGAGTGGAGAGAAGGGGCAGAATCCCAGTCAACGACGGCTAGAATGTCTCAAGAACCGATTAGCAACCAAACATCGGGCGGAGGAGCCACATGCTAATTGGACCAAGCTTTGCCGGCACTTTGACCAGGCAAATGGATCAGATAGCTAGCTAGTCGAGTGGCTAGAGGAGACATTGCACGGAGATTTGTTCAAAACAAGGTGAAGAATGCGGAATGTCATCTTCTTGAATGATTCATGTCAAATGCTCAAAGCCTTGTGCTAGTCTCAGCTTGTGGCGGCTCTATGATTTAGCGGTGCTTGAAATTGCGACTGTTGTGCCACACAGCTGCCTGCATACTTATCAGTGAGGAAGTATCCAACGGAGCTGAGGGAGAAAAAGGCTTGACCTTGATGCTTATCCAACTGTCATAATCTTTCTCCGCGATCCGCCACGGTAAAAACACGTGGATTGACGTGGTTCTGAAGACCGAATTCGCGTATCCAACCAGGCGATTACCATATGCTTGGTCCGAAAACCAGGTTGCTGGAGAATATGAAGCCCATACAAACCCATGGCGGTATATAGTGAAATGTGGGTCTATATCAGCCCCAACGAAACCACTTGAAAAGTGAGGTGCAACAGATCCGTCTTATATGATTGGTCATTCTGGTCAACCTGACATGCAAACGTTTCTGTGGCTTGAGCCGATCGTCTTGAATAGGAAGGATGAACCGCCAAAGAGTGACAGAATGCACCTCAAGAATACACATCTAATTGCGATATGTTGATCAATTATGCGCACGCCAGCTGCCTTTTGATGTCTTTGAGTTAGTCGAAGTGTTGAGGACTTCGACAGCTGGCAGGAAGAAGAATGATCAACAAGCGGATGTATGCAGCCGGTGGCGGTGATTCGAGCTGCCACATTCCATCGCTCACAAATTTAGCCAATCGCTCACAAACCCCTGGTGTCAATTCGTAGCACGGTTCTTACCGTCATCCCAGAGGATGGAAGAACGCACCGATGGGCTAATCTTCAACCACTGACTGTCAAAATTGAGTAACTCTGAGGCAGTCTTTCGATTGTTGGGTTTCTTGTCGAGTCTGTGTGATGCTCGAGGCGAGTTGAATGTTGCCCTATCTGTGTCAGGGACTGACTTTGATACTCAGAAGCACGACTCATTCCCGGATGACAAGGCCCATAAACAAAGGACGGGCCGATGAAACAAAGGCTTGACTATTAAATCCGTGCCAGCGGGCAGGTTTGATCGCCAGGTCCGTCTCTTCTCAGGTGGTGGTTGAAAACGCAAGGTTCTCGGCCGGGTGAAGGAGCTCAGACCGAAGGGAATAGGCGAGTCGTTTGAAGAAATGGTATTGAAGGCCGACGGAGAATACGAGGAGAGATAGGAAACGGGGAAGTTAGACCTGGTAGTGGGACTGATGAATCAAGATACGGAGCAAGGGAGGTTTTCGTCGTTGACATGGAAATCTGAGCATGGGAATAGGGTAAGTTATACAGACAGTTCAACCATTCCATGAAGTTAAATTAGCAAGTTTGCTCACATGGAGATGTACAACTCTAGAGGCAGGAGTTAATCTTTAACTTTATCTACTATAGGCAGGTACTAAATCCAACCGATCGAAGAATGGAAGGAACCATCTCAGAGACAGTGGGTTGGGCGAGAATCGTTCTTTCGCTCCCTGAATCAACCAAGCAAGCCCAAGGAAAGTCGGTAACTACCACCTACCTGACTTCACATCGGATACTGTATGAACAGAGAAAACACGGCAGCTGCTGCACGGTGAGGCCCCTGTAGCACAGGCAACCTTAACTTTACCTTCCCTGTCTACAGCGTGAACCTGAGGCTCGCCTAAGTTGTATCGCGGCATGCATCCCCCCCCCGCCAACAACGTTATTCTCATCTTCTTCTCAACTCCTATTTGCGAATTCGAAAAAAGATACTTCCGCTTCCGCTTCAGCCTCAGCTGCATCTACAGCCTGCATCGCTCTCTCGCTCTCTCGCGCGCATGCGAGTGCCCGAATATGTACTGTATCAATAACACGGTGCCATAGCTCACACTAAAACCGTCTCCGAGATCGTGGTCCCTGCTGCAAGACGATAGCATGTACATATGGCACCCCTTCTACGGTAGTCAGCATCCGAAACCACAACTCGAATCTCAGCCCACACGGCCCCCGCCCCCTCGATCTTGACAAGGGCACACGCCAAAGCCTAGCAGCGAATGAGGGCGTCGTCTTCATCACTCCAATTCGCGATCCGATGCTTTGCCAAGTATTCGTAGCGCAGCCATTGCTATTATGCCAAACTGCGTACGGATACACAGAGAGCTTGGGGGCCATGACCAAACACGACTCGATACATAGAAGGCACCGAGCAGAGAATAACGGTTCGGCCCCGCTGCCTCCGCTGGCGGACCATCTGTTTCCACTTCAATCGGCTGTTGGTAGACGCCGCAACGAATTGCTTTAGTCTGAGGCGCGTGACAACTCCCCAAAGCGAAGCGCCCCTGCCGCCACTAAAATATGAATCAGTTGTCTATGGTCCATGTCCATGTCGCCGGTTTTCTGAATTGTAGGGATTGACTTGCATACGGATCAGACTTGGCT